AAAAAAAAAAAAAAAAAAAAAACAAATTGAACCACCAATGAAAACCAGGCCTCCCACATCCTAGAGTGAAAAACTCTAATGGCGGCTAAACCATACCAGCCCGACAGGCGCGAAGCCACCCAGGTCAAACACCAACGAGCCCCTAGAGACCCCAACCCTACTGCCACACCAATCTCCCACCCGTCGCATCTCCAAAAACTACCGTGGGACGGAGAGTTCCTGGGACCAAGCACCAAGGGCCGCCGGAAAGAGGAAGCTCGAGGGTCAAGGCACATGCCAAAGGCCGAGCACGACCTCCAGCCAGCCCACCGTACCACCGACAAAGCAGCGACCGAAACACCCTCCTCGACATGGCATCTGGGAAGGAAGCAACCCCCACTCAAAGAACAACGAACACCGCTCGCCAGGGTCCCGACCGATCAAGGACTAACAGTAGCCAACCCGCGCGGCTGAGCACGGCCCACGATCCGTTGAGGAGGCATTGCAAATCGGCGATTTTTTGGTCCTAAGATTAAATGGGATTTTGGGGATTTTTTTTAGACAGTGTTCTTGTAATATTTATGTGGCTTGAACAATTTAGAATGTCAAACACTTGTCATCAATTTCAAGAATCATTTTAGGTGGATAAATTTCATGTGTTTTTATATAGATTAATTTTCCTGTATTTTAAAATAATTCAAAATAATAAATAAATCCATCCCCATTTTCTTCTATCAATCGAAGAGTTCCATAATAACATCCAACATTCATTTCAAACAAGTCCTGAAATCAATAATCCTTACCACGACAACGAAAAACTCTTAAATGGAGTTCGCTTTGGTTGTAGGAAGAACGTCAATACGCACTGCTATTTTGATCCTCAAAGACTGATGCAGACCCTAGTAAGATATTGTCCGCTTTGTGCTACTTCCGCCACCCGCACGACTTTGTTCTTGGCTGGGCTTCAATACACACCCACCAAAACGCGTCTTACTAGTGAAAGTATCTACATCCTCATATAAGGCCTGCTTCATTTCCTTTCAAACCCGATGTGGGATGCGCTGCATCATCCACCCCCCTTGTGGGCCCAGCGGTCACCGCTGGCACATGGGCTGGCTCTGATACCAACTGATGCAGACCCTAGTAAGATATTGTCCGCTTTGGGCTACTTCCGCCACCCGCACGGCTTTGTTCTTGGCTGGGCTTCAATACACACCCACCAAAACGCGTCTTACTAGTGAAGGTATCCACATCCTCATATAAGGCCTGCTTCGTTTCCTTTCAAACCAGATGTGGGATGCGCTGCATCAAAGACAAAAATATCCGAGAAATTCATCAGACATAGAAAGTAAAGGGTGTTTAATTTGTAAACTAAATTACACCCAGTTTTACAAATACTCAAACAGAAAGGAGAATAAGCAAAATAGCAAATGATGAATCCCTATTTTATTCGAAGGGAAGCTGCTCTTCCTCGGTAAATGTGACCACCTCATCATTCTCGTAGTCATCTTTTCTCGGCGGCGCATAAACCCTAGGCGGCCCTCTTCCCTTCTTCTTGTTCTTGGGCCTCGACTGCAGCATATGATTGATATCGCTCAGAAAAACACATAAGATTTAAAATAAACAGGGAAAAATAAAAAGGTAATTAGAATAACCCCACATTGCCGAAGGAATGTCTGAAACGCTTTCCTTTCTCAGTTTTCTTGTCACCCCTGCCGCAGTAAACTTAAAAGAAAAGAAGAAAATTAAGACAAATGTTAGCCAGAAACACATAAACCAGCATAGGTGTGTCTGCGGGAGAGAGAGAGAGTGTGTGTGTGTGTGTGTGAGAGAGAGAGAGAGAGAGAGAGTATACACAGACCGAGAGGGAGAGTTGGAGCAGAGGAGGAGGAGGTGGAGATGGAATATGAAAGTCGAATAGGGGACAGAATTAGGGTTAGTGAATTGGAGAAGGAGAGAGAAGGGGCAATGGTGATGGTTTGGAATTGGGAAGCTGCTGCTGCTGCCATGGGAGGAGCTCCGAGCAAGAGAGATGCCATTGGATTGGGGGAAGAAAGAAGAGAGACGGACTGCAGAATGAATTTGTGGTGGATGGATTTTTGCAAGAATAATAATAGACGGCGTCGTTCCTTTGCACTCTATTTTTTAATTACACTTCTTTGGTTGGCGCAATCCAATTCACATGACCAAGACTCCGACCCGGCCGACCCGCCCCATTGGACAAGGTTCTGTAGCTGTGCCCGTAAAATGGATTTATTTATTTAAATAAATATAAAAAAAAATAAGTGGAGAAAAAAAAAGGTCGGACCGTAATATATTTAAATAACTAAGACCTTCTATTGAAACCGTATTTCTAAAATACGGAGTTATTAATAAAATTAATTTTATATATTATTTATTGCAAAAAATAATTTAAAAAGCTTAAAACGCATTTTGAAAATGCATTTTATAGATTAAAAAAAATTATAATTAAAACAGTTATTTTGATAAAACGTATTTTGAAAATTTTATGTTCGCCCTAAACCGTATTTCCAGAATACGTTTAATAAATAAAAAAATAAATATAAAAACGTATTTTGGGAATACGTTTTACTGTGCAGAAACAGTAACTGTGCAGGAAAAATAAAAAAAACACACTTGTTTGTCGGGATCGATTCCACAACAAAATATTAATTCCACAGACTAATAATAATCAGTACACATAAGCTAACATACATACAAAATTCAACCACAATAATTAATTCAAAGTACAAATATGTCCAAATATCTGTACACAGAATCCAAGAAAAGAAAATCACAAATTTTCCCGAATACAACACAAACTAACTAGGATTGTATGGATCCCAAGGTTTGCGCTGTCGGGAGCCCATCCGACGCCGTGGTGGTCTGAAGAAGACGAGGCTGTGGGCGTAACAGCTTCTTCACCTGAGTAATTCATTTTGTAAAAAAATCAGAAATTCGACTTGGCAATAAAAAATAAATAAATAAATAATCATATTTTTGTTA